CTACTTCGTTCGGAGGAGTCGGTGGCTGGGTGATGCGGTCGGGGCTATCTGCTTCTTTTTCGTTCGTTTGATGCTCTATGTGCCGCTCGACCCCATGCCAGAGCGGTCTAAAAGGTGTTCATTGCCACTCTGTGCTCTTTGGCTGCTGATCAGCGAGTTCGCTCGTAGTGTGTATTCTCCGGCTTCGTTCGGTCAGCCTGTCAGCGCTTTCGGCTATGTTGAATGGTGGGCGGACGAAGGAGGAATCTGGAGAGCTGCCGTGCTGTGGAGGCCGGTTTCTTGCTCAGCAGTCTCCGCGTTTGCAGTGATTCCAAGTATTCGTAGTTTGTTTTTTTTTTGCTGTGCCAACCCATTTCTGAGGCGGTTTGATCCATCAAGTGAGCATCCGAAGGTTTCACCAAGCTTTTGAGCATGTGTCGACTCCTCTGGGAAGGACATGAACATTGTGTGCGAGCTTTGCGTGTTGATGAGCTTTGCTCGAACACTGTTTGTCTTGGCCTTGCACACATGTCTGTCTTGCTTGCTCTCCTCAAACTAACCAGAAGATACAGTTGCCACAGCTCACAGCTGAGCAGCTGGTACAGAAGCCACAGAGCTGCTTAGTACAGAGTCTCACCCAGGAGTGGGACCTAGCACGGAACGTTCCGTGGCAATACCTCGTGCTCGCAGTGGCACATTTCTCGTTTGATGATGATTGATGGGTGGCAAAGTCGAAGAGAGACCGTCCATGAAAGCGTGCAGGGACACCAAAAGAAAGCGGCCCCCCCTATGCAGGGAGCCTGCTCCAGTTGAACGACTGAACGATGCTGAGGTGAAGGGCCTCGCCTAGTTCGTACAGTGGAAGCCTTGTGGTACATGGCCGATGACTACGAGAGTTTCGCCCTTGTCCGTTAAACGTTTTCCGCAGGGATGTCTGTCTAGATGCGTCCTGCCGCAACGACCAAGACACATCCGTTTGACACGTCTCAGGTTGCATGAGGATTGTGGATCTGAATGGCCATGAGCTTCTGTGCCAGCTGGCTCGGGAACATGGTCAGGATAATCCGGATGCAGCAGGAGGTATCTTCCGACTGTTGGCTGATTCTTTCTTGCAGGTTAAGGACTGTGCCGCTGTGGGCGGCTCTGCCTTGTGCCTGTGAAGCTAAGGAAACTTTGTACGCCGAGCCGAGGCCGAGGGCTGCTTGTCACAGCGCTCCGGCTCCGCTCGCTCCGCTGATAATTTCTTCTTCTCCTTGGAAGGTCCTCTCGTCTCTGGGGAGAGGCACTGGATGCCAACCTCTTGGCTGCAGCCGTCAACTGGGCAGTCCAGCAAGCAGGCTGCAGCCTGGGTCTCGGCGTGAGCACGGAACGGGATCGCGCAAGGACGCAAGATACCCAAGGCGACCCAGGATGCTCCACGACTCTCGGGTTTGTGTGTGCCACCGTCTCAGTTTTCGCCCATGGTGTAGTGTTGCGCAGCGATCAAGCCCATATACGCCCTAGGATGTCGCTGCGCTGTGGTTGCAACGTGTTCCTGACAAGGAGGCCTTCAAGTGCGTTAAGCGGAGATAAACGAGTGTCCCAAGGCCGAGATTCCCGACGACTTCCTCTGTCCGCTCGCCCCCGCTCTTGCCATCTTTCACCCCAGCGTCAGACTTGCTCAGGACCCCTCAGCACCATCTCGCGGTTGCTTTCGCCCACCACCGACGTCGCGATTGAATCTCTCCGAGTCTGCCAGTATCACATCAAGACGGAAGCCAGGTCTTTCTGTCCATCCGACAGGTTCTTTGATAAGGATATGCTCAGTAGGAGTACCTGAAAAAGGTCATGACCATCCGAACCCGAGAAGAGACTCTCGTCGTCAATAGCCGGCGGATAGTTCGCAATGAGGGCGCTGACTTCATTCCTCTACTCGTAGAAACGGCCGTGGCAGCACGAAGGCTTCGCCACACGTCTAAGCACCCGCGTGCTGAAGAGAGTTGGCTTGCTTTACATCAGCTCTTCGTCAAAGGCTTTCCACACATTGTCCTTCCAGGCTGCCAAGCCGTTGATCGGCATCGTCCCGCAGCTGCTGAAGATCATGGCCTTTCGCTTGGACGATGCCACCTGCCTGCAACGGGATGCACTTTGACGTGGGTTTTGGAACTTCCCTGTTATGATTTGCCAGGCTTGTTCTTTTGCTTCCGTCGGCTTCGGGACGGATCTGTTCTTTAGGAGGGTCAATTTGTGTTATTTGGGGTTAAGGTGCTGGTCGTTTATTCAAACGCTCTTTTCTCATTGTTAAAAGTGTGGAATGCTGCTTCCGATGCAGCCTGAAGAATCAAAAGTACAATCAACACCTCCAAGCAAACACCACCCATGTATCACGATCTCAAGACGGATACAAACATCTTTGGTGCCGACTCGTCCTGCAAGACAATCGAGTACCACTATTTTCATTCTGAGCTGCAAACACACCTATGCGCCGCCATTCGCTGAGGTGTTGCTGCTGCAGCATGGATTTCGATTGTTGTGGGCTTTCGCTCACAAATCGGCAGAGTGGCCAGAGGCTTCGAACAAAGGGTCTGGAAGCATCTTGATGAACCAGGCTATGCCAATTCATGTATCGAGGCTCTCCGACAACCGACAGTTTGTGCCCTGCAGCAGCTGCGAGTATTGGTGGAAGCCAGGCCCCGTTGCAAACGAAGCCCTGCAAAGCTTGGGTTGGTGCCCTCTGTGAATTGCTGGTTTTGGAACCACAAGGCCGTCTGCAGCACCAAATGCTATTCACTACAACGCCATGGCTCTACAGGCCAGAGGAGAAAAAGCCCATCCTAAGCTTGGGGCGATCAGCACGATGGCAGGCGATTCGCGGGCTTGCGCCATGTACGGCAGTGCAAACAAGCTTGGGCTTGGACAGCATGGATTGAAAAAAGGGCGTGTGCATGCGTGTGTTGTGATGATGATTCTTGAGATCTGATGCTCGTCCTTTCAGTCGGTGTCTGAGGGCTCGACCCGTGAATTACGGCGACTTCAGCCCGTGGAAGACTTACGTGCGGTTGAAGATCTTGGTTCGAGGCCCGTGTGCGTCTTGCGAGGTGCTTGGCGACAGCGGTGGAAGGTGCCGAGTTCTTGCAGCGCAGCAGCGCGACGACTTTTTCGCTTCGCCGTTCGCTTTTCAAGGGGGCCGCGCTGGCACTGCCTCTGGCAAGTTGGCCCGGGTACCCGGTGGAAACGGCGAAGCGGGCAGAAAGCCCCGATCCTCCTAGCGCTGAGGGTGGTGCGGTTCGTGCAGGAGGTTCAGTAATGCACGATGCTGCGCGCGCGCGCGCGCGCGTGTGTGTGTGTGTGTGTCAGAGGACCAAGTCGCAGCTTTGCAGGAAAGACTCACTGGAATTTTCCCCGAGATGCGCGAGGCCGTGCTGGTGTGAGAATACATAAAATACTGCATTGTGGCGGAAGCAGGGGCTGGGACTGTTCTTCGTGTCCGCGGTCGCTGCATGGCTTCAGTGCAGCTTCTGCGGCCAGCAATGGCCTAGTGTACATAGCCAGCCGCCTAAGCCACCTGCGCTCCAGCCCTGCCTGCGCTGCTCTGCCGCCTGCACGGCCCTGCGCGGCCTTCACCTCAGGATGCCTTGTGAGCTCATGGTATAGACTTGAGATTCGAGGTACGCGAAAACCCTGGACTAGATCTGCATCTACTGTCAATGAGCATACTTGGCTCGGCCGCCCGCTCAGATAGCACAGACAGCTTATTGTCAAGAGACCAGCGACCCTGGAGCCCTGCAAGGCCTCCGGGGCTGCGTCTGCCGTGGCGTCGGCGGCTTCTGCCGCGACCAGCGCTGTTTTCGTGGTAAAGGACGTTAATTCTGAAGCTGTGGGCGAAGATGCAAGATCATGCAAGACGTGCAGGAACGCGCTGCGCAGGCGGGCGCTGTTCTCAATTTCATTGCAGTTGTTATGTTACCGTGGGTGCATGCGCAGAAGAGAAGGGCATCTCGGATCACTAAGGCTTGAGGCCGCAGGTAAACGAGCTTTTTCATGCAGTGCCAGGTGGCGCCGGCAGCACCTGGTGTAACGCAGCTTGCAGCAGGAGCAGGTGCCAGCCATGCACTGGGCCCCAAGTGTACGCATATTATCAAGCATGTCGGGGTTAGGCCCATGATCCAGACCTCGTGTCGTTTTTGTTTCATCTTGCTTTGGACTCGACATGTGACCTGGTTCTGTGTCTGCAACTGGAGCGAATGAAGATGCAGTAGCTTGCTTGCTGTAGGTGGGGCAAGGGGCGGCTTGTTGAAGGACATATCGACTCGGAAATTGTGCCCCAACTGATGCTTGCTCAGCAACACGTGGCTTTCGCTCGCCTCTTTCGGTGGCACCCGAATGTGGCCACATCTACTTTCCATTGCATGTCGTTTGGAAGCTCTTCTTCCAGTTGGGGCCACAACAAAGTTACTCCTAACCTTCTCGGATGCTCTCAAGATGATTTGGTTGGCGTTGCTGCTGCAGTGTCACTGGCAGTTGTCGGTCATGTGTTGAGGTTTTATCTTCACGTTCCCTTCGTAAATGTCGGAAGCCGCGAAGTGCCGCATAACCAAACTGCCACCATGCTGCACATCGGCCAGAAGGAAAGACGTTCATGCGAGCCCTGTGCTTTCTGCAGTTAATTTCCCTAGAGACGGTGGGAGTTATTTGATTTGTTTATGCTAGGTGAAGCCGTTGCTGAGGCCGTGGCTGGGCAGCACAAGTTTGTGTGTGTTCTCGATGCGAGGTGCTTGATCACTTCGTCTGCGCAAGACAGGAACGAATGCAATGAAGTACGTAAGGGTATGGCAATGTGCAGCAGGGCGAAAGCCGAGGGCCAGCGAGTTAGAGATGCAGCTGGTGAAGTGACACATCAGGTGGCAGGCCCGAAGCTTGAATTAGTATTCCAAATGCCACGTCAGAAGAAAGGTTTGCGCTTTGCGTATGCTGGTTCAGGTGTCGCCGGACATGCATCTTCGCAAGTTGCCAGTGCTGTAGAAGGCTATGGTACGCATTGCGTCATATGGGTCCATATTGCATCGACCACGAGAGCCACGGGAGCGCAAGGTGTCAGGGACCACGCTGCCGCCTGACCAGCATCCAGGTATCAGGCTGCACGTTTGCTGTCCGTGTCGGTGGTCCAAGGTGCAGCAAAAGCAGCGGATGGAGAAGGTTGCGGACCAGTTCACCGACCTCATGGAGGCGGAGTCCAGGTAGAGTGCCAGTTCTGCAGAACAAGAGCCTTCAAGATTTCGCAGGGCTTCCTCAAGAGAAAGCTGTACAAACTTCTAATTCTTCTTGTGGACAAGATCCCCGGTATTCTCAAGACAGTGGGCCGCTCAGAAAGGCCTCCAGATGCCTCCAGGGCATGCATCCAGCAGCTGCCCCTTTCCGTGCCCTCTTCCGGAAGGTTTTGGAAGACCCTGAGATGCCATCTCGAGTGCAGAGAGCCCAGGACGCAAGCTTAGGGTTGCAAAGGTTGGAAGTTTGGTGTTCACCGCTGCAGGATGCTGCGGTTGATGCTGTCTGGCCGGATGTGCGGCAGGCACAGATTGCTTTCTCAAGCTCTGGTTTTTGGCTGGCCTTGTTTGGCAGGAAATCATGTGGGAACTGGCAGTGCGACCGGGTAAAAATTATGATAATGCGACGGGATTGGCGGTGAAAGCACGTAACCGGCAAAGCCTAAGAGCAACATTGCCGAACAACTCGCTGCAGGGACGGCCAAAGTCTAGCTAATGTAGGCCAAAACAGTGCGGTTTCGCCGCTTTGCTTTCCTTGGAGAATTTTCGGCCGGTGAAACCTAGGTCCATGGATGGCAAGGCAGCCGACCAGCCAAAGGCGGTTGCTCTTTTGAGATGAGAGAGTAAGAAACATGTGCATTGTTGCAGGAGCAAGGCTGCATTTGCTGTTCTTTTCTCAGATACCATCTTTATCCTTTCGACCGAGGCATGGACACAGACGAGACATGAGTGGGTCCTGACAGTGGCGAAGTAATGAAAGTAATGAATGCACAGGATTCTGGGGACGGCTGCGAGATCCAGTGTGGAATTTCAGATGCAAAGAGGAAGGCCTTTCTGCATCTCGCCTCCTGCGACAGACCAAGGATACTCTTCACGATTGTCGGCCTTCTTCCCGTGTATGGCATCAGCCCAGGTGTGTCTTAGCTGAGGTTGGCCTCAAGCTTTGGACTGAAATCTTGAACCATTCCAAAATCTGCAGCATTCTGCTCAGATATTCTTGCTGATCTTCCTCATTGTCGACAAAACCGATGAGTTCCAGCTCGTTTCCTTCATACTTGAGTTCAAGGACAAGCTTGTCCTCATTCCGCTTCGGCGGATCTGTGTTTCCCGAAGCTTGTCTGCTTTGCTGGAGAGTTCCGCTTTTTCAGGGCTTCCAGTACCTCACACAGGGCCTGGTGCGCAGCTTGATGGGCAGCGCCCTCGGTTGTGCCAGAGTCTCCGAGCCTGCAACGACAGCCCCATCCGTTCCGTGGTCCCGAACTTCAAGGCTACTTTTTGTACCTGAATTGCGTCACTGCACCCGGGCAAGAGGAGGATTTCTGCGCTACAAACGGACCCGGCTCCGTCGCTCCGACCCTGATTGTCTTGGCGCAAGACTCAGGGCCACGAAGCCTTTGCCCAGCTAAAGCGACAGCCCTCGACAGACTTGTGCAGGTTGGATATTTGCTCCAAGTAGTTCTGGTTTGGAGCTTGTCTGCACATGGAAGATGTTGGAGGTCTAGCGCGGCAGACCAAACCAGGACGTCAATTGCACATGTTGAGGACGGCCTTTCTGCTCCTACCCTTCTCTTCAAGGAAAGGGCGATCAACGCTGACTGGACATCTGGTTCCTGATCTTCATTCTACACGGAGTTGGGAACATCTTTGAAAGACGAGCTGCACTGAAGCATCGGTCCAACCCTGACTAGGACTAGGACTGCACGTGTTAACCAGGTCTCACTTGAGATGAGATGTGCCCCTGTTGAAGTTTTCCTGGCCCCTTCGCATTTCGATTGTCCGGGCTTGAGCTAGATCCCTTATGCATCCGTTAAATGTCGTTTTCGAGTGCTAAGCACTTTTCTGGGTCCAGTCAAGCTCCGCTCGAGTCTCGTTTTGCCACTTGAGGAGCACACGAAAGCGTCAGGAGTAGGTTTCGCAATTGTGCGGCCCAGGATGAACCTCTTCCGCACCGTGCAGAGCACCGGGGTGGATATATAAGTCGCTTGGCCGACATGAGGGCCTTGACACTTCCTTGTCAAGCAAAAAAGTCAGGCACGGCATTGTAAGCTGATTTCATCAACACTTTTGTCCTACATGGATGCTCCCTAAGTCTATCTTCTGTGGTATGACCTCTTGACCTTCGTCGTCTGTGCTGGGGCACTGGTTTACGTGTTACAGCTGCGAGAATGGTGGCTCGACGACTGGATGGTCAAGCATGCAGCTCGGACAAGTGGCGAAATCCAGTTTTTCTCACTCGACTTTGGCAGATTGCCGGCGTACACATCAAAGCGAGGCGTTCTTTGCTATCCAAATGGTGCACGGCTACTTGTCCATGCCCTTCTTTTTCTTTACGATCCCGCTAATAAGGCCGTCTGCACACGATTCGTTGGTGTAAGTTCGGCAAGAGTGCTCGATGCCTCGTTTCTGGAACCAGCTACAGCCGCAGGAATGTTCTGAGCCACACAGCAGGGGGCTTGGTGCGTGCGCCGTAGAGCGTTACGAGCGGTCACGTTGTGCATGTTGAAACCTAGAACGCCTGCGGCGAATCAGCGGCCGCTCCCCACCCCTGTTCGCCAGATTTTTTTTTGACAACTGTGGCAACAAACATAAACACGCCGTAAAGGAACCTTTAAGGGAACCATCCTCCTGATCTTCGTGGTCTTGCCATGGCCGCCCCAACTGGGGAGCGGCCGAATCTAAGGGCTGGCACCGCTTCCGATCACAACGCCCGCAGACCCCGGGATGACGAAGCCAACAAACCCGATCGTTGAGCGAGCTTGCAACCCTGCCTGTGCCGGAAGTGGGGGCAAGCTTCTTCGAGTAATCGGGAGAACTAGTCGGATTGCCATGGTGCTCAGCTCACGTTGCCTACGAAATGTGCATGGGCCGTGTCGGTGATAGAGGATAGATTTTGAAAAGTAGGGGAGAAGGCACCTGTCATCAATAAGGAAAAAACAGGAGGGCTGGACTTCACAGGTTTGTTGGCAATTGAAGCCGATTGAGGGACTGGGCAAAGAGCAGGGGGACGTGTACTGCTGCCGCATAATCCGTTCAAGCCGGAGGGCACCATTTTCCACCGGATGGGGAGCCATGCTCGGGTTTCTCAGGAATGCGGAAAGGGGGGCTTTCCTGGATGGTGGCGTCAGGGCTCCGGGGAGGGGGCGGGTTTGGGGTAGGCCGGGAAAGGCGAGTTGAGGTGGAGTCTGGAAGTAACTTTTGTGTAGCAGCATGTGCTTTCTTTCCCTGTTTTGCTGCCGCGCGAAATCGACTCGGGGGGTTAGAGGAAGAGAGTGGCAGGAAGAAGGGAGTGGCAACTGGCGCTCAGGAGCAACGGACGCTAGCGGCTAGCGGTTGGCTAAGGCACCGACTGGATACGACCGATCTGGTTGTTGCAGACAGTACTTGGGCCCTGCAAGGCAGACAAATTCATGTATGGTTTGCGCTTGTTCGCACTATCACTAGCTCATGCATATATAGCTGAAATAGTCTTTGAGAGCAGGCCCCCAAAACCGCCAGCAGATGCTGGCAACATTCCGCGCGTGCTCGAGAAGGCTGAGGCTTGCACTTGGCCTTCCTTCCCTGTCAAAGGCACTATCGATTTGCTTGGCAAGGCGGCCAAAGTGCTGGAGAACCTGAGACGTCTGTTGTCTGGCCTTCGTGTTCGTGCTCTGGATTTGGAGGATAGACATTGGGCAGCCGATGCTTTTGATTTGGAAGCATGTCAAACGGCAGGAGCAGCCGACTGAGTCCGAAGCGGCGAATGCCGAATAGAAGCGTTTACCGTGAGCCAGATGTTGTGGCGCGGCATATCTGGATGTGTGCCAAAACGGCCACTTCAGCAGTCGTTCCAGGGACAAAGAAACCTGAAGCCGCAACGAACTGTCGCAGGAAAACAGGAAAATTTGCCTTACAGGGGAATCTGAATGTTGCCATCATTTGGGGGGGTGTTGGCGCTTTGGCGGCTCAGAAGACCCGGGGCCGTGCAATCATGCCTTCATGGTGGGAGAAGCGTGCTGGCAACGATTGGCGCGGTACCTGTGCTTGCTTGGCTTGAATGAAAGGCACATTGAACGAGGGAAATCTTTCTGCAAGAATGCAGAGCTATCATCCCGCTGTGGCCATGCTCGTCCAACTGCGCGGAGCGAGCTACCGCTCACATTCAATGCTGCCTCACGCAGTGGCACTATTGGGGGGCGTGAGTCGTGATGCAGTGAGCGCTTGGGGGGAGGACGTGGCTTGGTGGCTTTGCATAGCCATGTTCTTTGTTTTCTGCAATAGATCAATTGCAGTGCTTGCGTGCGCTGTTACCATCCTGCGCATCGCAGCACGGGTCTGTTCGGTCTTTTGCCAGGCTCCCCGCGAGGAAGCGCTTCCGAGCGACTGGTGCATGAGCTGAAGGCTTCGATGATTGCGTAGGCCTGGCTTGCACCGTTAAGAATCTATACGAGGTCTTTCCCAACCACAATACGTACAGCTTCGTGGCTGAATTGTGGAGCTGTGCTGGGACCAAGATACCCGACCCCCGCACGCACGACTCCGCACTGTGGAAAGTTTGCTATCTAAGATGGGGCTTGGCTTAACGGCCGTTGCCACGGCGATGGTCTCTACACTTGGAGTGCTTGGTGCCAAGATACCAAGAGGCATGCACGGGAAAAGTCTACGAACGTGGTTGCAAGCCCAGGATGGCAGCGAGTATGCTGGCGAGTTCCGCGAAGGTTTGATGTGGGGTCAAGGTGAAAAGCCTTTGCCTCAGCTACGTTTGTCTTGCTGTGGGCCAAGATGCTTTCAGAGGCGGTGGTCAAACGGAAGGCGATACTGTGGAGAATGGGTCGCGTGCTGAAGCTGGCAAGATGGACATGGATAAATGTCACGGCTTTGACAGCAGGTGCAGGACATGATGTGGGGGAACGGCGAAATGCACTGACCTTGGTACAGATTGACACTCGTGCCAACTGCGATGTTATCGTCATGGTGCATGGTGAAGCGAAGATGCTTCCTTCCTTTTGTCTGGCTCCTAAGGCTCAGAAGACTTAGATCCGTATGTACAGCAGGTGGCTGATGGGGGATCGCCATGGAGGACGATTTGGATCGCTGGGAAGCGCGCAAGGCGCAAGAGGCCACAGAGCAGACGCAATTTTCTGTGCCGCAGAGCATCTACCTTTCCTGGATAAGGCCTCCGGGATAAGAAAGTGGAGCGGCCCAGTGGCCAAGTAGGGGATCTGGGCAAAGCAAGCATGCAAGGCAAGAGCTCGACGACGAGCAAGCCTGCATGGAGCTGCCCTTCATGATTCTGAGCCTCAGCTTCAATTCGGAAACCGAAGGCTCCCGAGAGTGCAGTGCAAGTAAGGGTTGTGATTTCATTCACCTTGATGGCGGCTTCCTGGCTGCGAGCTGGACAAAATCGTGCGAGCTCAGATGTCCGGGAGTCGAAGATCGTCAGGTTGCCACAGCTTGCAAGTTGTGCAAGTTGCCTGAAAGGTTCTGGCGCTGAGCCAGCATGTGGTCCTGTCTGTCGAGCAGGCGATTGAGCAAGACATCATGCAAAATGCAAACTTTGTTGCTTTGATTCGCAAGCAAATAAATGACACTAGTTGTCTCTGCAGAACCCAAAGTGTCACGGTGCTTGATTCCAGCCAAGGCTTTCAACGAGTATATGGGCACACCAGATGCAACAACCGCATTTTTTTATTGTTCGATTGCTCACCACATCTAGGACAGGTAACAAAGAGAGCGTGTGCCCAGCCTGTGGCTTTGCCATGTCATGTGGTGCAGGGCACAAGACCCTTGTGGACGTGCACTCCTTCGGTGACTTCTGGTCGTGGCTTCGTTTGGGCTTTGTGCCCCTGGTGCTTCCCAGGGGCTGGGGATATTCGGAGCGCCGCGTTCCCGATGCCCCATGGCGAGAGTAGTGAATGGCTGCATATGTGAAAATGCCGATGCGAATCTTCAGATGTCATGAAAGAATGAGGTCACCAGTGTGTTTGGTCTCAGCGATACGGCCGTGCAAGCGCCGAATGCATGGGATTTCGAGAACAGGCTCGATGACTTCATTGGGCCTGGTAGAAACCATGCATCGCCATTCTTCGGTGAATGTTTCGCGGAGGTACCGCGCCCCCGTCGCCGGTGATTACCTGCTCTTTGGTGGCACAAGTCTTGTCCCGGGGCCCCGAACGGACGTTCCGTTCAGATGAACCAAGACGAGGCGTCAGTGGCGAAGTTAGAAGATTGCTAATACAGGCGGCGACGGTTTCGGCTCTGCCCATTTCTCAAACGTTGTATTGTTCCCGGGCCTAGGCACTACAATCGGATCATTGGGGGCCTACGCTTTCGTCAGCAAGTGGCGCCCGATGGGCCGTGCCGCTTCCCTGGCTCTGCTTCCCAGGAGCTCTTCGACCGATGGTATGCGTGCCTGGGCAAGCTTCCAACAACAACAACAACAGCAACAGCAGCAACAGCAACAACAGCAGCAACAGCAGCAACAGCAACAGGAACAACAAGAACGACAACAACAACAACCACAATCACAAC